TCTAGCCACTCAGCGAGGCAGGGGCAGACCCAGGGCAGGACTCACGGGCTGTGCCAGGGGGCACCCCTGCCAGGGCTGTGCAGACCCCAGGACATGCTGTGCAGATGGCTTGGCTTGGAGAGGGTGGGGACCCTTGGACATCCATTCCTGCATGTGAGGGCCACGGCAGAGCCGGAGCAGCGGGTCACACCACAAGGACTCTGCCAGAAGGCTGCGGCTTCTGCCAGCCCTGGGGTCTGACTGCAGCGGAGCGGGAAGAGGGGCTGCCATGCAAGGCAGGGTCGGGGGCCTCTGAGGTGGCTGTGAGACCCAACACCAGGCGACCGGGAGTAGGGCTGCAGGATGCCAGGACAGTGGCCTGGGACCCGCCCTTCTCCTTCTAGATGGACTCCGACCCCCTGGGCCATTTTGGAAAGTGCTGATGTTCTGGCTGGGCTGCAACAGCAGTCTGTGGCCCCCAACATTTAACACGTGGCCACTGGCCAGAGACTGGCTAGGCCTGGAGGCTGTGGCCCGGTTGTCCAGTCTCTAGGGCTGGGGGGAGGGCCCCAGTGTGGGCCTGCAGTATAGGCCGGTGGGCCCTTGAGTGCCTGGTGCCTTCCCTCCTGGCTGCGCACCTCATGGGGGCCTGGAGCCACCCTAGCCTTCAGTGGCATTCTTACGGTGTGTCCCGAAAGCCATACGTCAGGAGGCTGCAGTGAGGCTCACCCTTGCAGCCCAGGTCCCATTTGTCCTCCACCCTGCTCTCTGCTTTCCTGAGGACTTGTGAGTTGTTTCTCAACCTGCAGCCTCCCTAAGTTTCTGCATAGCTTTACAGATTTTGGCAAAGCTTAAAGTCATGTAGCTATCCCCAAAACTGGGGTGTGGAGCCATCCTTTCTTCCTATCTCCTGTGTGTGCTTAAAGACTTCTTCTAACATTCCTTGTAGCACAGGCATGCTTTCTCAGCTTGCCGGCACTCTCCTCCCTCCCGTCCTGCTCCTCCCCTGCCCTCTGCCCTCCCTTCCCTGTCCTCCACTACCCTCCCCACCCTCCCTTTCTTCTTTCCCTTCCCCTTCCTTTTCTCCCTCTCCCTTTCTTTCCACGTCTTTATTTCACTTCATTTATGAAAGATATTTTCTCTAGGTCTTGAAATCCAGAGAGCAGGCTTTTCTTTAGTGCTTTAATGCTGTCACTTTATTGTCCTCTGTCTCAACCAGGTCGCGACAGGACATGTAGTAACGTGTACGAAAGTGCGTGGCTTCGTCCCGGCCCCCTCCGCGGCACCCCCTGCGACCCAGTGGGCCTTGTCTCAGGGCTCCAGGCCTTGTCCTTCTCCCCCCGCTCTCCTTTGCTTTCTTTTGTGACTGCCGTGGAGTGCCGGGTCCTCTGCTGTCTCCGTGGCTCCTGGACACGCGGGTCTGCTTTTCATCTCCCAGGGTCTCCTCTCTGAGCTTCAGTTTGGTAGTTTCTGTTGACCCAATTTCAACCCTCTTCCAAATCACTGGTCGGCACTCAGCTGTGAGGAGACTGCTGCAAGCCAGCCACGGGCTCTTGGACGCCATGTTTTCACATGCAGTTGTTCTCTGACTCCTACTGATGCAGTTTCCCCCGTCTGTGCACACACGGCCCTTTCTCCAGCCAGTCATCATTCAGTGGCTCTTGTGTAATCTTTTCTCTGGTGCTGTGTAGCCTCCATGGTTGTGGCCCTGGGTGGCAGCTGCTGAGGAGGGCTGTCCACCAGCCCTTCGCCAGCCTGACCGGGCCCTGAGGACTGGCACCTGGGTGATATGCAGTTCTTTACGGTGACAAACGCAACCAATCTGCACTTAAATCATGTGGTATACTGCTACTTCCATCTATGAAAGCTTCCCAGAGATGTCTTTGGAAGAAATTTTGGATTTCTAGCTGCAAATGGAGTACTCTCCAAAAAGTTTTAATTTTTGATAATTATCCATTTTTATAATGTAGCAGTATTTTTCCTTATGGATTTGTGAAGGGCTTTATATATGAGGAATATGAAAATGTTGCTTTTTACATTGAAAAATTTCCTCCTAGGCCTTTGCTATTGTCCCGCCACAGTGAGAGCACTTCCAACTTGTTGGCTTGCTTGCTTTGAAAAGGAATAAACTTTCAATCTTTAGGGTTCAATGAGATGTGTCCGATAGTCTCTCCCCAGAGGACCAAGTGTAAATACCTCTCCTCTACCCCAATATTTTAGGACATTACTACATATTTATCTGTGTACAACACCCGTGCCTATGTATGCATGGGTGTGTATGCACAATTTTGATGTTTTAACCCATCAGAATTTACCTTAACTTAGGATATAAAGTAGTTCTTGAAATAAGTCCTCCTTTTTCTGTAAAGCTAAAGTACTACCTTCAGCAGAGAATGACTCAGAGATGTTAAAAATAATTTTTGATTTAATATAATAAACATAATAAAAACTATCTGAGATTTTAAAAATTCAAGTAAGCAGAAAAACTGAAGGCCCCAAGAAGTCCCTTGTTGCAGTGTTCGTAATGACCAAGACTGAACTGATAAGTCAAGCGTCTCAGAGGCTAGGACATGAGCTATTCTGAAGGTGACCTTCGCCCGCCTCAGCAGTGACATGCTGTTTGCACCTCAATGATCTGATGACCACCCTGAGCCCTTTGTGTCCCCAGCTCAGGCTTTTCACAGCCCCAAGAGGCCCCGCTCCATAGCACAGGTGCTGAGGGCATCGAGAAGCAGGAGCATGGGGAGACTTTGCCTCTTGTTTTTGTTCTATTTTATTTTTTAATTAATTAATTTATTTATTTATTTATTTATTCATTAAGGGGTCTCACTATGCAGCTCAGACTCATAGTGATTCTCCTGTCTCAGCCTCCCCAGCACTGGGATCACAGGTGTGCCCCACCACACCTGGTTTCGGCGGCTGACACAACATGCCCAGGGTTCTGGGGCTGGCACAGTATGTGGTACAAGGATTGAACTTGGTCCTTGTGCTTGCCAGACAGGTGCTTAACCACTGAGCTATCTCCCCAGCCCTGTTTTATTTTTCTTTTGACAGTAAAAGGCTTCCTCCTCCTGTGGTGGATTATTCTGGGGTATGTAGCAAAGTAAAAGTGGACATGGTATATGAATAACCACTAACAGGAGGCCTAGGACTGATTCTTTGACAGCAGAGGGGAAGACTGTTTTCCTCAGAATAACTCGGGCTCTGCTCACTGAGGGCAGGCTTTCTGCAGGGCACCTGCAGCTTCACAAAGAGCTTCTTGTCACACATTCAGCCGGCAGACTGAGAACAGCTGAGCCGGGTTCTGCTGTCTCATGCAGATCCCATTCCCGAGAGGACAGAGGTCAAGGTTTTAGTGTGCAACAGGATAACCGAGCCCCCAGCATGCGAACCACGTGACCCAGCTGAAGTCAGAGCATGGCCACTGCCTTCGGGTTATCATGGCCCTGCACTCTCAGATACCATCGGTGTTCATGCGAGCTATTTGTGCACATCAGGAGGGGAATGAAAGCCTCACATATGAAGCAAGTGTGCATTCTTATTCTCATCGTTTGATTCTCTTCATCTTAGGAGATTCTGTGAATCTTCACCAGCTGGGAGGTTCTGTGGTGTGAAGGGGGAGCGGTACCCAGTGCACTGGGAGATCCGGCCATTCCCAATAGCATTTTCTTTTCTTTTCTTTTAATGTATTTAGTACAGGGTCTACAGAGTCTCATTATGTAGATTGGACTTGTAGTGATTCACCTGTGCTGGGATTACAGGCACGCACCACCATGCCCAGTCTCAATTGCTGTTTCAGCGCGCCTCATGGGCGAGGCCAGCACTGGGGTATCGAGCCCTGGTGGCTGCGCTCTTCCTAAGCAGGCGTTTTAGTCTGCTGAGCTGTCCGGCTGGCCCCCCAGTAACATTTTACATACAATCTTATAGTCACCAATGTCGACAAACTCAGAGAATGTGGCCGAGAGCGAAGTGAGCTCTAGAAGGAGAACGCTGTGCAGTGCTGCCCACTGGGAGGCGCCTGGCCTGACCCCCCCTACTCAGCTAAGGGCTTCTCAGCAGCCCTGTGTCAGCTTTGAAGACGGAAGCAAGCTGAGGAGTTGGGGTGACCCTGACTGCACTGATCATTCTCTGTTCCCAAACTTGGGGTGTTCATGTGGGGGCCTGGGCCGTTTGGCTGCTGCAGGGAAGTCAGCTGCAATCGATACCAGTTTTTTACCCTGCGCACTAAAGCTCCCAAAATCACCCCCCACTGGCCCAGCACTGCAACCACCAGGACAGTGGAGAAGAGTCCAAGGCGTGGCCTTGCCAGAGCTCCTGCTGCCTGCTTCCCACAAGCAGCACCATCACGCACTGAGAAGCAGCCTTCTCTGTGACTTCACTCCCGTGGGACAGGGACACCCTGTGAGGGTAGGGCACACAGGGAGGACAAAGGCAGCACTCAGCATTTGTGGAAGAGCTAGGTCTACAAGGCGGAGGACTGTCTGAGCAGACTTCTGTTCTCCGAGCTCAAAGCAGCACCAATTCCCCAAAGAGACTTACCTGCCTATAGTTTGGAAGTTAAATTTATCAATGATGCATGTGCATACAAATACACATAGTGTACAGTATCACATCTGTAAAACTAGGCTCCTCCCTCCACCATGACAAAACCACTGGCTAGAATGCAGTGGTGTAGTCCCAGGGAGCAGAGACGCCCAGGCGGGTGTCTGAGTCCAGGCTGACCCCCCACCCCCACGTACGCGCATGCGTGCACATGGAAACATTACTTCTGCTGCTGGAAATAACTGGAATGATCAGAAGGACACTGATGCCTCAGAATGGCTTGGAAATCAGACCCAGACATCTCCCGAGGACCGCCCTTAATTTCTACAAGAGAAGCACACAGCCAAATACCCAGCTGGTCCTCTTTAGGAGACAGCCTCGAAGGCTGATGGCCAAGGCCCTTGGCTGATGACAGCCAGCTCACAGATGAACAGCTTTGTGGAGCAAGGATGTGCATGAGGCCAGGAAGCCTTTCTTACGTTTGGTGGTCTCCAAGTGGCCTCTGCACGATGGACTTCAGCAGGGGCTCAGGCCGGATGGCCACCTTTGGGGAGGTCTTGGGGCTGGAGTCAGACTCCCCACTCTCCTCATCTCCCATGGCTTTGATGTAGCTGCCGCTCCGCATCCTCCGGCAGGGGATCTCTTCCTCCTTGCCGCTGGGGGGATACCCGCCCCACTCGTCCTGCGGCACCTAGGAGAGAGCATACGGCAGCGCTTGTTACCAGCAGTGCTGGGCAGCGCATTCTCTACCGCCTGGTGGGGGCCTCCTCTCTGGCTCAGCATTGTCTTTCAGATCCTAAGAGGACACAGTGTGAAAGGATTGGTCTTCTTCCCACCAAAAGCATTTAACTTTGCTCCTGGCATAAAAGGAAAACACAACTTGAGAAAACTGAACCTAGACAGAGAAAGGAATGGGGAACAGAAAGAGAAGGAAAGACCCATGTCACTGGGAAGCTTTCCCTTAGGTGGCCCAGCAGCGGAGTGGGGGCTTAGTTCAGAGGCGCTTTGAGCCATCTAGGCTGTCTACATGTGCTTACAGTACAGAGCGGGAGCACCCAGTCCCAGTTGTCCTGTGAGGGATAAAGCGGTGTGCGCCCATCCATGCGGCCCATGCGTGACCCCTCCAAGCTTTCGTGCTGTAGTCCTGGCTTGGGGGCAGGCTCAGCCACAGAGACCAGGCAGGGCAGCACTCTGTGTCCACCCTGCATATGTGGGACTGGAGATCCTCTCTGACCACACAGAACCAGGGAGGAAGACAGGATGCTTCCAGGGAGGCCCAGCTGGGGCCATGGCTTTGTAGCTGTGAACAGTTGACTCTAAAGGCCAAGCTGAAGGAAGCCAAGTCCGGCGGGCTGCAGCTGCATAGTGCAGGACCTCCAAATGGTCCCCATCCCTACATCACTCAAGGACCATGGCCCTGGACTCTGTATTTCTTGCTGGACAGGAGACTGTCCCAGCATGCTTCTGGGGGAAGGGATACTGATGGCATTCCGTGGGAAGGTTTTCAGCAGTGGTGCTTTTCCACTGTGAAGAGTCAGAGCCATGGGCCTGTGCTTCACAGCGCGCTGACCAGGTGCCCGGCAGCTCCTGCCCTGACACTGCCAGGAGCACCTGGTGCTGCCTGCCCAGCATCCAGGCGGCTGCAGGAAAGTGGCCTTCCTGTGCAGGCTTCTGCCTTCCCCTAATACCACTGTCCATGTGCCAAGCCAGCCAGGGTCTGAGGCCAGGGAAGTACATGTCATCACACTCCGCACCTGCAGCAGGCCAGATCTTGCACCTGCAGGCAGGACCCCTGCAGGAGGATGAGGCGGGTCGCTTCTGCAGCATCCAGCTTCCGGTTTTGTAAGCAGCTGTCCCGAGTGGGCTTGGGTATCCTGGAGCTCTCCTGGACCACAGCACCGTGCCACTGGCAGATGCAAACAACGCCAGGAGCAGTGGGCTCAACAGGACAGCAAGCCCAGTCTCCACGCTGTAGGCCCAGCCTTGCATCTGCTGTGCAGCAAGAATGGGCTGGGCCTCTGTGGTTCGCTGCAGCCTGTATCTCTGACGTCTCCAGGCCACACTCAGTGCCAGTCTCTGGGCAGGTACTAACATCCTGACCAAAGCAGAGCTGTTTAGAATACGTGGCCGAGCCCTCGACATTGCAGGCGGGACACAAGGCCCAGCGACACGCAGAAGGCTCCATCAACAAGAAGTTAGCGACTGAGA